AATTAAACATCGTAATATTATTAATACCAAAAATAATGAATTAGATTAAAAAAAGTAGTAAATACCTATTTAACCGAACTTAGCCTTACTTATGTTCATTAAGCTTCATCATTTTGATATTGGATATTTGTTTTATGATATTTACCTGTTGTACATATATGTTATGTAACAATTCGTAAATTATTCAATTTAAAATAAGTATTCATTACCTATTGTCATTGTTATCGTTAAAATATGGTACTTTAGTTTTAATACCCCTGACTGTTAATAATTTACTTATTTATTTATTACAATAGATACACCAAACGGCAATTACATAGAGGTTATAATACAATTGAAATCTAACAGTTCAGTTATGAACATCAAACAAATTTTTAAAAAAAACCAGGATTCGAGGAGTATACGTTCTGAGAATGCGATGAAGGAAGTGGTTGTTGTTGCTGTACGATGGGGTGTGACTGGGGATATAGAAAGGTTGTCGGTTAAATAAGAGAGAAGGTCAACCTAACCTTCTGAAGGAGACTATCTCAAGAAGATCTGGATCTAGATACATACCCATTTAAAAGGAAAATAATGAACCGTTGCTTAGATTCGATGTGACCAAATATTCGTGGGGGATGACCAGAGAATTGAAAATTAAAGAATAATTTTAAGCTAAACATCTATTTTTAACATTGTTTGTATTTCGAAAAGAAGGGATGCCAAACAACCATACCATACTTGAGAAGAGGTCTGACGAGTGAAAAGTATAAAGTATAGGGATAAATGGCTGATTTAAAACATTTGGTGTTATGTTTAATGAATCCCTGGACTTCTAACTCTATACTTACGGTTTAAATTGATGTTCAAATGAAAAACGGAAGAGTTGCATTATAAGTGTGTAACTCAAATTGTAGCCAGTAGGTCTTTCAAAAGAAACACGTTAAGGCTGAAAACTATTTAGGAAATAGGAGTGAACGATGGGTGAACAAGATCTGGGAGGAAGAAATTATTTGACATGTCTATTATTTAAGTTGAGTGTTAAACTAATATTTAGTAACTCGACGACATAAAATATCTAGTTCATGTTGTAAATTTTGGAAACTAACAAGCAAGTCAATTTTATGAAAAATTGTTATACAGTCATAATCATACAATAACATTATTACCTGTTTTAAATGGACATAAATATAATTGATAATAATAATTAGTTATAAATGGTATAATACCATAAATAGCTTAAAGAAATTACATTTTCTAAAAATCAATTAGTAAGGAACTACCTAACTAAGGAAATTTAAGGTATTTTTTATTTATAAAAAGTAAAATGTATTTATATATATGAATTAAGATTTTTACTAAATTGTTGTCTAATTCAATACATAAATATTTCTAATAAAATCTTGAACACAAGCACTTTCAATTATGCATTTATATCATTTTTTTTCAATATTGGCAATACTTATAGGCACCTTGTACCTACACGTTTTTACACAGCTGCTCTGCTGTTGAATTTAATTTTTAATGTTCTATGATATCAACATGTATGACCATTGTGCAAAATAATTTTGTTTTTATTGTCTGTCTGCTTTATGTAGGTACCTATAAAATAAAATTACATAAACAGAATAACATATGATCGTACATGACACATAATATTAAAAAAGGTCTGTTTTTATCAAGTGTTTAATATGCATACCGAACTGTAACTGAGAAATAGCTAGAAAAATGTCATATTAAAGTTGTAGATATACCTTGTGAAGGCACGTGAACTATAATGGAAAATAGTGGGATACGATTTTCGTATAGGTATTCCTTATTTTTTGGGATAAATAATGAGCTATAAATGTCGAGTTACAAGGTTTCAAACACGATTTGTTTTCTTAGTTTTCAATAATAATTTGAGATTTCCAACATGAGCATTTTTAATTTTGAGGGGTGCAGTTTAAGTAAAAGAGAAGTGCGCTAAGGGAGACGATTCTTCTGTAATGTATATTTTTTACAGTGATTACTTGAATATTCTAAAGAAATGTATAACTGTGAACAATTTAAAAACACATTTAATTTAATTTTAAAATACAATAAGCAGTAAATTTTTTATGTTGTACCTAGTTATATTTGTATAATTTATGTTTTTTAGTATTTATTCGGGTAATTAAAAATTTAGTTCCTATACAGTAGGCTGATTTAAGTATGCACAACAATGAAACTATTTACATTTTACTTTATATAGGCTTCTTATTCTGGTTGCCTAATAATAATTATATAAAAAAAACGGTTACCTATCTTTTGAATTTTTAATTTTTGGTGGGGGAGGGGTCGGGATTTTTTAATTTCTAAAAGGTGCTTTGAATAAAAAAAAGTTGGGAAATTCTAGTTAACAATAAGATTAGTAAGTATATTCTACATAAAAATTTTAAGCTCTGCATCTTTTAAAATGTTTAACCACTATTCGTATGACAGTTATACATACACATTTCTTTGAATCATTTTTTATTTATCTGATATTTTACTTTTCAAATATATACAAAGATGACACGATTAGTTATAGTACTATGCTTTAAAAAAACCTGTATAATACTATACTTTAGTAGGTATTAATGACCTACTCTCGACGTTAATTGTATGTACGTATTATATATATAGAGTGTAAACACTATACTTTTTTCTCAGGCTGGCCTAATTATTTTATAATAGTGTTCAGTAATAAGTAAATGCTTTATACTTGCTACCTGCTTTAATGATAATAATAATGGTTCTTAAAAATCATTATGAAACATGATAATAAATAAATAAACCAAATCACTGTTTTTATGACGTATGGTCAAAATTACTTAATTTGACAAAAAATAATAGTTGAACTAGTTTTGACACACGAATAACATATAGAACATAAGAAATACTTTTGTTAAATTCATTTTTAAATATAAGTTAATTCTCCCGGGATAGAATGTATTATATTACAAGTGTCCATAATAGAATCAAAGTCATAAGGACTTAATACGGACAATTAGTTCATTTTATTTTTAATCACGAGTTTATGTTTACATTACCTATGTAATAGTTTAGACAGAAAATAAAATGTCTAAATATAATGTAAACAGCAAGCTGTATTATTCACTTTTTCGGTTAATCGTGGTATACTTGTACGATTGTAGTGTGATATATTCGTATTATCATACTGCGAGTTTCAGAAAAATCTCAAATAGGTAGTTTATTGATTTACCATATTAAATGATTTTGAACGTTCTTGTATTATGTATTAAAAATATCATAAAAAAGCTACCTATTCCGTGAAAGGAGAAATTTTGTCAATGGACTTAAAAATGTAGGCCCATTCACAAAGGTATTCTAAATATAAGTATTTCTTTTGTACATATTATTATTAATATGCAAGTATGATTTATACTGGTGACTTAAATTTGGAATTTTATCAAATATTTCAAATTACTTGTATCAAAATAAAATTTGATTTCATATTAAATAAACATGAAATATTCTTTCAAAGTTATTGAAATGTTATATTTTTTGTTGAATTGCATTTGTTTATTTTTAGGCACAATGGTTATAAAAACATATGAGTACGGCTATTCGTGAACTCATTGTTAATGTTCTATAATTTTATTTTGTATTATTATTCTATTTGTTTTAATTTATTCAAAGAATTAATCTTTCTTTTTTTGAATTTAAATTTTCTTAGTAATGCCAATTTTATAGTCGGTTTACTTTTTAAATCTAAAACATTTTATTAGTTTAAAATTTAAAATTTATTATCCTGTCTAGCTATAATATGTATATCATGGACCATGGTCAAACACTTTTCGTGGAACGAATATATATATATTATATATAATAATATATTAGTAAATTTAAAACTAAATTTCATTACATTTTGAGTAAAAGAAATGTTTGTTTAATTTAAAAATAAACGTTTCAACTTTATAAAAATAACATTATATCATACATATGTCAATATTTATAAAATATATTATGTTTTAAATAAATAAACAAATATATAATTTCACACTTATAATTCACATTAAGAAACCTTTGATCACATTCCAGTATCAAATAATTAATGAATTACAGTGTATGTACAGGGTGTAACAGAATGATCTAGAAACTGAAAAATTAATAGTAGTTAAACATCTAAGGAAATTTATGAAAATTATATGGATAATAAATAATTTAAGATTCACTTTTGTCTGATAATTCACTAAAATAATATTTGTAAAAAGTTATTACATTTCATATTAATTTACTACCCAAAAATATTTATATCTAAAAAAATTAAGTACTTAACTAAAATAAATGTCCGTACCATCATATTTTAATAAAAATGACCTATTTCGGATTTTTCAAATACAAATTTCATTAAATTTTATTTTTATTTTTTCATCATTAAAAAAATAAAAATAAAAATGTTGAACTGTTCTTGCAACGCGAGCGTCAATATACATAATTAAAAAAAAATGTTTTTCAAGTTTTGATTAAAACAAAAGTTATTTCATACGTCAGATCATTTTGTTACACCTGGTATAGGTACTATATACGTATATTTTATACCTATATGACTAGGTGTATAATAATATTGCATTATCTATGTAATGGAATATTTTTGTCACGAATTAAATTATTTATAAATTATAAAAGTACATAAGTATTTACCAAGTACTTATAATATTTACTTTCTCTTACTCAATTCTCTTTTTTTTTATATATATAGAAATTGTTACTAGTTTGTTTTATCTTCTTAAAATAAAATGTAAGCATATGTTAACAAACAGACTCATAATATTTCATTCTTTGCTTTAATAATAATTGCAGGCTTATAGTTACAGTTGTACCATTCAATTTGTACAACTTACTAGTTACTATGCATGGAAGTATAATAAATTGTACATATTTTATTGGAATATTTTAGTTTTATTTTATCACATCTATTTTCGTTACCTATTATAAGTTATAACAATAATTAATCACTATATTATTTTTTTTTTTTAGAGAAATTGTCATAAACTATGCAAAGTATTATAATCGATTATGCAGTTTTTCTACTGCTGATTGGGTTGTCATTCGCAGTATTAATTTATAGTAAAATATCCGGCCCCAAAGAACAGACGAAAGCAGACTATGTGTTCGCTTCGAAAGGGTCGGTTTCGATGGGAGCTATGCTCCTGTCCATTGCACGTGGGTTTCTGGGTGTCAAAGTCTTCCTCGGTAAATATGTTTTACGTTCATAAGTCCGAAAATATTAATTAAAACAACTTGTTTTTTACAGGGTATCCGTCCGAATTTTACTATAGAGGAAGTGGAATGTGGGAAACACTGTACGGAATGTCCTTAGCATTCCCTTTGGTTTTATATTTTTTCCTACCAGTATATTTCAATCTAGGAATTACTTCAGTTTATCAGGTGAGCTTCAGACATTTTCAAGCAGTCAATATAGCTTACAATATTATAAGACATAATATTTAAACTATTGTTTGGAGGCACCTGCTGATAAAACTTTTCTTCAATAATTATATAATATATTTTAGTCTGTTGCACTAAATAATTATTAATTACTATCATAAAATACAAATTGCGTTATTCTTGAAGTGCATGTCTATCAAACTCGTGTACCAATATGTATTTACAAGTTCTTATTTTTGTCTATTTATAGTACTTAGATATGCGATTCAAATCAAGACTCGTGAGGAGGCTTGCGTCTGCTACATATTTTATAAGAAGTATACTTAACCTTGGCGTAACTGTCTTCACACCGTGCGTTGCCTTAAAAACTGTGATGGGATTGCCATATTGGTTTTCAATCATCTTAATTACATCGATTGCCATTGTTTTCACACTGCTGGTGAGATCAATTTTATTTATTGCTAAATACCTCATTTTTAATCGAACACTACCAACAAATTACAAAATATATGATGTTATAGATACATTATGAATGCATATAATTCATATGGGCTGTAAATCGTTTGCAAATCTTTGTTGTTCATGTCGACCTTTTTTTGTATAACATTTACACATTGTTTGCGTGTCATCTAAGTTAACCCTCGTGCTTAATTTGCGTATCAGCGTATTTAACAATTTATAGTACTAAAAGACTTAAGGAGTATATTCAAAAACGTAAGTAGCTTACTAACTTTCTGAAAATTTGACGCTTGTAGTATAAAATTTTCAAATATTGAGTACGTTACTATTTAAAAGTATAAACTGTAAATATTGCATATTAAGGAAAGGATTAAACGACTGAAGTGTACGAGTGATTTATAACCATGACTAACCATGGTTTTTTTACCATTAATATACATATTATGCATTATAAGTATGAGTTAGTACTACTATTTAATATTGAATTAGCCAATTTATTTTTAATTTTATATACACTTATTATATCATGTGTGAATTATAACAAATGTCGAATTTTCATGTTTATCCAGAATATTTTGATTTTAAAAATTCTTTTAATATTTGATACACAACCTTTTGTTTGATAAGTTGATACACAAACGATAATCGGTGACTGGTGCACCTACGATTAAGTATGATATTTTGGCACAGGCGATAAGGAAACGGCTATTATAGCTATACTCGTGTAGCTCAAATGAATATAGCACATCATAATATAGCCATAAACGTAAACTATAATGAATTATGAATATAAATTACCTATAATTATTTTATAGTTTATTAAAATAAACACCTATAATATTAAAATATAGCTTATAAAATGCATTATCTAATTAATTATTTTAAAAGTATAATGGTTTATCAATTCTTCACTATGCTCTTTATTATTAAAGCAATAAATAATGATAAACATTAATATAATAATTATAATTAAATAAAACCTATTACTTACCTTTTTAAAATGTTTAATATTAGATTTTATTATCATTCAAACCATATTTTAATAAAATTATCGTGTAGGTAGGTAGGTACAGTGGTACACCGTTATTGTATGTCACGTTTTAGGTATTCAAAAAAATTAGGTTAAAAATAATTATGTCACTACTCATTTCAGTTATATTTTATTTAACATAAAAATAAATAGGATTACATTTAATAGGATTTATTATAAAAATGAATACTTATTTCAATTATTTTATATAAATATACATCTTAAGGAACTACACAAGAATAATGAAGTATAGTGTATGCCATTTCACTACCTGGAATAACTACAGAATTATTTAAATGATTTTGAAATAAATAGTTATAAAAAAAAATTATACTAATAACTCCTTTAAAAGAATGAAAGCTATTTTAATAAATTATTAATTAAATAGTATGTGCAATTCGTATAAAATAAAACAATTTATGACTCACCCAATAGCCAAACTAATATTATAATATTTTTAAACTAAAATTATAACCATTAACAATTAATTAATGTAATTCGATGAAAAATCAATTTTACATATTACTGTTGGGGTGATTTTTATGCATTTCATTATTTCTCTGCTAAATCCATTTAGTTATAAATCGAAGTGGCAACAATATTTTTACAGAAATTAAAGTAATTTTATTAGAAAAATGTAATGTTTAAATTTGACATTAGGTTTGCAGCAATTGTAATCAATTTGTTATTTCGATTATGTCATTGAATTTGTGCAGTCAAGCACTAAAGTATTATATTAGCTACCTAATCAATAATCATTTCATTATTACTATTAAGTACTAATATATAATACGAATCAATGTTATGTTGATGTTACATCACATTTTCTTGAACTTTGGATCATGGTAACATTTAGAAAGTAAATTAATTGTACTAATTGTAAATTATGCTATACACGTTTATACATGGAATATTTATTTTGTGAGCAAAACATAACTGTTGTCTGTTGAACATTTTATTTAAAGTTTTCACAGCAAAAATGTACGTAACTACATGTATTGTGTTATTCAAATTGTTTTAAACTCAAATACCTGGCAGATTTAATGGCAGATAAAATACAAGTTTTAGTTAATAAAATAAAAACAATACCATTAGGGACCGCAAAATTTGGTGTGACATTTTAATACCTTTAGCACCTTGATATTTGGTAACTTACTTACCATGTCAATTATGGAGTCGAAATAGTAAAAAAGTTTTATCATTAGTTTTAAGAAATCTTTTAGTTTGCAATCTTTACAACATTATTAGTTTATGAAACAGGTTAACTTTTCGATTTTACTAAATATACTTATATCCGTATGCTTACGTAATAATAAATTATAATTATAATTTGTGAAGTCATTAATGAGACAATTTAAAGTATGAGTATAGTATTTGAAAGTTATCAAAATATCAAATGATATAGTTAAAGTTAGTAAGATCGTCTGTTTACACTTATAATATATTATGATCTAATAATCTAGTAGGTACTTATTATGTTTTTTTAAAAATATTTTGAAATACTGGAGGTGTGATACTTAAACAAATGTAGATCTATAAATAATATTTAATTTAATAAGATTTAAGCTATATCACTATACTACTCATGTGTTAAGTATGTACCGTACATTTTAATTACTTTATCGGGATCAGAAGGTATAAATGCGAATAATAATTCATATGTATTTTATCAAATTACTTTAATAGACTATAATATATAGTACCTATAAACCTATATTATGGCCTTCGTGAAACACGTAGGTTTAATGTGCCTAATATAGAACCAATGAAATAATAAAAATTAGTCATACAGAATATTACTTTCTGAACGTTATCTTTTTAGTCGCTAAATGTATAAACGAATATTTTATGTAACTCCAAAATTGTTAATATAAAATGTTTATTTTAGTTGCCCAATTTTAAGATCAGCCATTAGGGGGAGGCAAATGGGCCATTGGCCTCTTGATAATTTTTAAATGTATGTACTTGAATATTTATATAACTATAACTAAAATATATTAGATTATAAGTAATTTTTTATCTTGCCCTGGAGAGGATTTTATACTGCAGGAACTCTTGCCCCGTTTAATTTGTTTTTTAAAATGCCAAATTTCAAATTTGTACTCTATTATTATAACACTATATAAGCAAGCCGTTAAAATTAATAAATATTTATTATCTTACAATATATTTTGTACTGTGTCAATATTTCAAACTCTGTGATCGTTATTTTAGGGAGGTCTGAGATCAGCTATCCTAGCAGACGCCGTTCAGAGTTTAGTGATGATCGGTTGCAGTGTAATAATCATTATTCATGGATTCTTTATAGCTAAAGGTCCATTGAATGTGTTTGAAGTGACCAAGGAACGGGACAGGCTGGACTTTTTCAAGTATGTGTAGATATAACCAATGACCTAGAGCCATAAGACCGGTGTTTCAAAATTGGCATTTTATATTATTTCAGTTTCAACATGGACCCTACGATTCGTGTGTCGACGGTGTCCGCAACTCTTGGTCAGCTGTTCATGTCGCTTTCGATGTTCGGATGCCAACAAAATTTCGTTCAACGCTACTTTAGTATGGACTCTCAGAAACAAGTTGAAAAGTAATTAAATGCGAACCGTTTTTATGTTCAAAATGGCAGCCATATGTTTATGTTTGGTTAGGGCATTTTTCCAAATTCGTAACGTTTGCCTAGGGCTTTGTGGCTGACCATACCGTTGATGATAGTCCTCTTCAGTCTATCGTGGATTGTCGGTATGGTGATATTCACGGTGTACGCTGATTGCGATCCTCGAGCACTCGGATACATATCGGAGATCGACGAGATCATACCTTTTTACATTGAAGACAGATTTTACTTTTTGCCGGGCTTCATGGGACTTGTATTGGCCAGCTTATTCAACAGTGGACTCAGGTAAATCAATTTAATTTGTCTTATCACCACAATTATATTTCTTTCTTCGTGTTCAATAACGTGAATAATTTTCATCTACAGTATATTAGTGTCCAACTTAAATTCAGTCTCTACTGTTGCTTGGGAAGATTTTATCTCTCAAATACCAATATTCAAGGGTGCCAGTGAAAAGAACCAATTGTGGTGCATTAAAAGCATAAGTAAGTTGTGGAATAATCCAACATTGAAATTGCTTTATAAATTGGTACTTTATATTAGCTAGCTAACCAATAACATAGATTACAAATTATTTTAAAATTTAAATAATTAGTCTCGTAATTTTATATATCGCTAATAATATTTATTTGTTTTTAGGTGTAATTACTGGTTTTATAGTTATGGGTGTTGCGTTTATTGTCGCACAATCTTCAGGTGTTATTGATGCTTCGCAACTAATGACGTCCGCCACTAGTGGACCTCTTTTAGGAGTTTTTGTTTTAGCTATGTTTTTCCCATCAACGAATTGGAAAGTGAGTACATGGGACATTTTAATTGATTGATTGATTGTGTATTCGCTAGAAAATAAAAGGGTATTTTCTTATTAATTGTGAGCTATTACTTTATATAATATAAATTATAATGCTTGTTTAAATTGAGTTTAAATTTTACCTACATAAAATATCATGGCTATAATACTAAGAAGCATTTCAAACTATTTTTTTGGTACCTAAATAGTACGTAAGGAAATTTAAAAGAATGATACGCAATACTCAAAATGAAACAATTAAAAAATGTAAAAATATTCCATCTTATAAACACAATGATCACCAATTTTAACCCCAGTACTTTAGTCATTATTCCTTTTTTAAAAATTATGTAGGTTTATGCAGTATGAACTAATTATTCAGACTGTAGGTATTGTACCTCGACAATGGTCGTGAAATTTAAGCAACATTTTTGATACGTATTTAAACTACTTTTGCACTTAAGTTTAATTCACAATTATATAGGTTATAAGAGATTGCTTCAATTTTTAGTTAAGCATAGTTATATAATGAAACTCAAGTACTCAACAATAATTTAGGTTAGGTGGTTACACTCATAGTTCTTAGAGATAAAACAGTTTATATAAGTAAAGAATTGTTCCTAATCTTAGCAATGAATATTCTAATAAAATATTACCTATTTTAGTTTGTCAATCGAATTGAATTGAGAGTACTTTTTTAAGTAAAATCAGTAAAAATATAAAGGTTCTATTACATTGTAGAATTTAGAACCATCTCCAAAACTATTTTAATCTTACACATCAAGTGTACATTAAATGTGCAGTTTATATATTTTATTTTTAATAGTTTTGACTTGCCTAATATATATTTTTGTATTTAAACAGGGTGCTGCTGCCGGTATGATATCGAGTCACTTAATGACCTTGTTTATTGTACTTGGATCGTTGTCCATCGCCAAAGAACCTAATTATCTACCAGTGTCCACTGAAGGGTGTACGAACACGACGTTCTCGCCACACATTGAGCCCATTTTTGATGTACAGTATAATCAATACAAAATGAGCTTTATGAACAAAACTCACGATGACATTTCCAGTGTCCTATCGACGCCCGAAGTCAAATCGTCCTCCACAGAGTACGCATAACTGCTATATATATATAAACAACTTATACTGCTACACTATAAATTACGTATTTTACTTTATAAATCTCGACGTTTCATTAAATTGAAGAACTAAGTATGGATCAACAGTTGCTTTGCATCAACAGTGTTAACATACTTCGTTTGAGCTGAGACTTGAACGTTGATATAGCATTGCACATCATATTAAAATACATATCATTATATAAATAATATAAAAGCTACGATAATAATAATTCTTCTGGTGTGTTAAAATTTAAAATTTTTATTTTTCAGCGATATACTTACATTATTGTACTCGATAACGTACATGTACTACTCATTATTGGGCACATTTGTAACAGTCTTCGTCGGTGTCATAGTCAGCTACATGACAGGTAAAAACAAAACAGATACCAATAATTACATTCAGATCAATTGAATGTACGACCTATTGGCTATTGCACATGCCATTGGTGATTGTGTTTACTCTGTACTTATACTTATAACTCATTAATTGAATGCAAAACATATATTACCTAAGTTATTTTATAATATTATTATCGCAAATATGTTTGCTTGATTGTTGTTTATATTATTTTCATGTTTCTAGAACCATTAAATTAGATCTGAAACAAACAAAGTTTTATATTAAAAAACTAAAACCGATCATTATTTTAACTTGTAACATTATAATAATATAGTAACTTTTTAACCTGATACAAAACATCTAGCCCTTTACAATGTAATGGGTCAAACGAATATTCATCTTACCTGCATTTATGACAATATTATATTATTACGAGAATTACAAATCAAGACGAAATACGGCTTCATATTAAAATGATAGATCAATCTTAAATTGTACTTAGATGTGTCTATCTACGTTTGAATTAGATATTTAAATTTAAATTTGTGATACTTTAGTGATTAATCCTGTAATTTAACTATCAACTATATATAATTAAAATATAAATTAAACTAAATAATAGCTCCCTATCTTCATTCCTGTATTAATTATGAACTACCCGCAAGGGTTAATTCGATATTGGGTTTATTTTCTACTTACTAGTTACTTATAAAGTAAAATATTAAACGTCCACGTCTAAATACCTTTTATTATTATCCTGGTATATTTATTAAACAAATATCAATATGTTATTTACAACCAATTTTGATTTTAATTATCTGTTAAATCTGGATGTTATTGAGTATTATAATAATGCACCTATGTGTGTACAAATGATAATAATTGTTTGGAACAGGAGCAAGGAATTGTTCAAAAGTACCTATTAGGTATTCAATTAGTGAAGTGATATTGCGTATCTATATTTACCTCAATATAGGTTAGGTACCTATTAGGTATTAAGTATATTAGGGTGATTCTTAGGTTTCTAAAATTTATTGATACTGTAATTTTTTTGAAAGAGTTGAGCGTTGCCTATAAAGTCTTAAAAGTTTTTTTCAAATATTATTTTCTTCATACAAATATTAATATTTCAATGTTTCAAGTCGAGATACCAAAGTTAAGTTCAGTAAATACCTAAGCATAGAATTTGAACTATTTATATTAGAAATAATAATTATCATTTCAAGATACCTAAAAAATTAAATAATATAATAATGATATTTTTTTTTTTTGTTATTAAAGTATTTTTTATTCAATCTGTTTCAATACATGAACAATAAGAATAAGAGATGAAGTAAATAAAATAAAAATAAATGACAGATTATCCCGAATGTAGAGGCCTCCCAGCGGAGGTACTACGACATGAGTAGGACTAAATTAGGCTAGCAGGTCGCGACACCACTGTCTTTTAAGTCTTTTTACTGGGTTACCTGGGATTGGAGCAGATGATAGGTCGGAGATTAACGAATTCTTACGGTGAGCTAGGCGGCTATTGAAACGTTTATAATGAGTTTTGGCTAGTTCAGAGAGTTAGGCATTTTGTTTAGTATCAAGGAGTTTGGAGATGACAGAAGTGAGGAGAGTAATTAGAGGATTGATAACAGATTTTAGTTCATCTAAAAACTTAGAGAAAACATCAATATCAGTTTTGGGGGAGTGGTTGCCGCAAAATTGATTATGAGTGGTGTCGTTACCTGTTACATTGGCATAGGATCTGTGGCGCGTGTTTGATTGAAGATTGGAAGATGGTGAGCTGTTTGATGGAGCAGGGCATTGAGGAGGCTGCTTTTGATGGGGTTTCTGAATGAGTTTGGATGAGGTGAGTGGGTGACGGCGGCGGTTTTGGAGCTCCTTGTGGACAGTACAACCTTTGTAATTGGCATGGTGACTGCCGGAGCACAGCGCGCAGGTGGCGGGAGTGTCAGACGTTTTTTTGCATAGTGAAGTTGGGTGGTCTTCACCACATTTAACACAGCGTGGGGGGTAGGAGCAGTAAGCTCTTGTGTGCCCGTAGGATTGACAGTTGAGGCATTGTGGAATATCGCGGCGTTTGTGAGGTTCCTCGACTTTGACTAATGTGTTCAGGATTGACTTGATGTTGAAGATGTCTTTGTTGGAGGGGTCAGGCTCAAGATCAACGAAGAACATGGGAAGAGCCATTTTTGTTTGGTGATGCTTTATATTTGTGACTTGCCTGCTTGAGAACCCAATTTCCTCAATTGCCAATAATGATATTAACTATTTTTTTTTTATATTCATGAATTATGATTAAGGTAAAAAAAATTATTAAGCCTTTAACATAGACATATCTTGTATAATAACCTATGCATAATGGACTATGATGAACCAATTTTGGTTTTGGTTCTACTCATATATTTCGTTAATAATTATAATATATAATAATATATATAATATATTATAATCATTACTTATGCTATTTGTCAGACGTCAGTGTGTGTATTGTAAATATTAACCATGTCCTATAATGATTAAATAAACTATTTCACAATTTCAGCCATACGGACTGGTGATGACATACAATATCATCCACTTGGTTATGAACCAATACTATAGTTTTTAAGACTACTCTTGTAAAAACATGGCTACATGTCATTGTTTTTCTTTAGTTGTATTTTTTTCATTAACTAATAAAATATTTTTTTTATTAATTATTTATTTCACGAGAAGGTGCATTATTGTAGAAACGACATCGTTTTCTTTCATTTTTTTTTTTTGTAAGATGTTTTTTTTTACATAAGACTAATTAAAATTAAATTATTTTGGACTATTTATTGTATAATTGTCTCTCTGTTCTATTTGATAATAGAATCAGTTAATGAGTACCTAAATTGTTTTTTTCATATTTATACATTTTTACTAGGAGACAAATTTAACGCTTATTTTACTAGGTAGTCAATTTTTACAATTTTTTATTTTTCAATGTAACATTTATTTCGACAGTCATACAAATATCTTTTTAAACAATGAATATGAATTATCAAACTAGTATTTGATATTAAAGTAGGTATCGAATATATAGTCAATAGATCGTTTAAGGCGTTTAAGGTTTTGTTGAGTATTTCAGTGAACATTTTTTAGGTATACATTTATTTATTAGTTACATCAAAACCAATAACATTTATTAATTATTAACTTCTGATTAAGTATTCAACACTTATTTTTACTTTCAATTGACACATAGTCAGCTAAATAAACTGATTTTTTAAAATAAAATTTTTTAAAAATTATTGCTATTGAAATGTAAAAAAAGTATGAAACCTGAAAGACAAAATAATCGTTTGATGTAAAATTAAAATAAAATATATTATATTATTATACTTACTTCAAAGTCTTATAAAAATGAAAACATACAAAAATTGGTGGATAAATTATTTGGTAATGTAATACATACAACACAGTGAAACCCCGATAAGTCTATCAGTCCAATTTTCGATTACTCGAAGGAATTTTTTGGTCCCTACATTAAAATATAGGATTGGTGGAATACATTTTCTCACTAATTTGAATTCGTTAACTTAAATTTCTAGATAAGTCGAAGTCATTTGTGTCGAATTATGACTCGTTATCCATAAATAATGTAAATCGATAATTATAATCTAATCTTAATTTAACGCTTTTATGCACGAGCTAAGAATTCAATAGATTGACAGTCGATATTTAATAAACATTTATCTAGGTACTGTACTTTATTAGTTCATCTGTATTTAATGATAATAAATTAAAGGTCGATATACAGTTTGAAAATTCATCGGAAAGTCAGTAACTTTAAAAATAATACAGATCTGACTCTCCAATTAATTTACCTCCTGTGTAACAAAACTAGGTAATTTCTTCTAAAACCTAGTACGAAATTAAATCAGAGAAAAATTTCAATAAATATATCTAAATCAATATAAATTTGAAATAGGTATTTATTACAACTATAGAATAAACTTTTTTTTTAATTTAAATATGTATATCTATATTTAGGTAATGTAAGTAAATAAGTAAATAGACAAAATCGAAAATATCGTTTTTGTGTTATCTAATAAAATAAAAATTGCCTGTAACTAGATTTTTTTCCACGACTAATTCGAGTTGTTGAGGTTTCAGTGTAAGTAGATAGTTGAGGCAAGTGAGGTTAGGTCTACCTAGGGATTGTCCTATGTATTATTGGCTTTGTAATTAAAACGAAAAAATATTTCAAAAACGACAAAACGCTCAAAACGGTCCACCAAGCACCTCATAAAGATAACAAATTTAGCATAGTACTAGTATATTTAGGATTGATTGATCATTGAAAATTAATTTTTACAATATTATCTTGATAATCTTGAGGAAAAATAATAGTCACTTAATGGGCAACAACTTATCGTATTTTCAACGTTAATACTCTTATTTGCTGGTATTGATCAAGCGGAGTTGATGTTGTAAACATAGATTATAAAACCTTTATTATTTATGATTATAAATAGTGATCGTTGTAAGATTGAGACCATCGCGCATTTTCGCTGAGTAAAGGGGGTTCACAACTCGCCGTGCCGTGTAGAGTTATTCAACTTGTAGGTAACGTATAAACGACATTTTGTGACCTATGTTTTAAATGTACGGAACACTATACACGACACAACGAGATGTAAATCCACCTCTATCGTTTTAAGTGACCGATGATGTTTTTAAAATATTGTTGGAAATGCTTTGTAAAAATTAGATTATACTGAAGAGATCCGAAGAAATGTCGTTCTGTCCTTGTAATAATGCCTGCTGTTGTACAGAAATATCGAAAGTTATTCCACAGTAGTATGCATAGCCAACAGATATGAAGTTTTCTTAAATAAACAATGGGGCATATGAGACTTATTTTAAACGAAGGTTTGATTGCGGTTTAATCTATTTTAAATTACATTCATTTCTTTAGTTCTAAAATAGAATATTTATTGTATTTTGAAGAGTGATGTTCTTTGTGTATTGTGTGTAGAAACTAGAAAT